CGGGATAAAAAGTATCCTATTGCAATTTCCTGGCTCTAAACTATCTCCTTGCCAATTTTCAGCTAAATCGGTTCAGCCGTTCTTGAGTTATAAGTGGAGTAACTAATACGACTTTCTTTTATATATATGTATATAGATTACAAACACTGTCACTACTTTATTTCAGACTTTAACTAGTACTTGTAATTAGATAATCTTCCCCCTGAATGGCTCTCAGACTACTGTGTCCCTCCCGCCAACGTTTGCGAATATAAATGGTTTTTGTGAAATTATTGTATTTACTCTTTTAAATATTAAGCTATACCGAAATATCTTAATTATTCAAATAAACACAACACAATACGTCAGTTTTAGTAATTAATTCAATATTAATATTGCAACTTAATAGTTTACAGAAAATACATAATTGATTAACATTGATTACGAATTGGTTACTAATTAAGTTCCCTTCTTACACGACTTTCTTTTATATATATAGATATCTCAGCAATAGTGATACCTGACATCCATATGTTTAGTTTTAATATGGAATACTGGGTTCAGTTATAATTTCTGAGCACTCATACTGTCATTATACTAAGTAATAGTAAACATTCTTACAAGTCACTTCATTTTGTAAGTTTCTCAGATACACTGCTTCTTTGCAGGCTTCTGATATTGACACATATTCAGCTTCAGTACTAGAAAGTGAAATACATTTTTGTTTACTACAATTCCAGGATATAACTGATCCTGACAAAATATAACAAAACCCTGAATATGATTTACTGTCATTAGCATCACTGCTCCAGTTCTTATATATTATCATTATAACATATCCTTCAATATTATCATTTTTATTCTTACTATATTTCAAACCAAATTTTATGTTTTCTTTAAGTATTTATAATATTCTTTTAGCATAAACCAAATGCTCTTCACTAATACAGTTATTGAATTGGATTAGGTATTAGGTATTATCTTCAAACTGCCTATAAGTTGTTGATAAGGATTCTGATTATTTATAGTATTTATTTAGACACACAAACAGAATACAATCCAGATTACATTTGAGTTACAGTCTAAAATTATTTTTAGCTTGATTATATTCCCAAGCATGTGTACACGGCATAATCATTACAAAACCAATATTTTTGTCAGGAGCTACATTATTTAGGTACAATTTAAGCCTAATGAATAAATAGGAACATATAAATTAAATTCAATTACTTAGTTGTTGATACAAAAAACATTAACAAGTGTTAGAAAGTAATTTAAATTATATTCACTGAGATAACAATAATATAAATAGGAGCAAAAGAGACAGATACATTCAATTAAGATTGTGTAACAAGTATAATTAAATTAAATAAAAAATAAAATAATAAATAAATTGTCAAAATTAAAATATAATTCAATAACAACTACATGGCAATAAACGTAAGAAAAAAAAGTCATTGGAGAGTAAATCATTGAATCGTCGATATAATAAGCCTTACCCTATTTTTAAGACTTGTAAAATTGAGATCAAATATATCTAACATGTCACTGTGTTTTGAAAGTAAATCATTGTATGTACGGCAGTCTAATAATAGGGTTATAATATGATGTATTATTGATGTGAACGCTGAGGACGAAGGTATTCAAATGTGGATGTTGAGATGAATGTTGAGAATGAGTGATGACAAGGCAGATGGGTCGATTCTATGTAGAATGAATTATTTTGTGACATGTTTAAAGTTCAATTCACATATATCTTTATTTTAGTGTGAGCATATTTAAATAGCCAATTCTATCTCCGTAACAGTTTATCTTATTTTGCAATCCAAATCTGCGGCACAAGAAGAAAATAAACCTTTTTTGAACATGTTTGATATTGTCACTGTGGGTGGAATAGAAAGGCGACCATATTGTTAAGTTGTACTCTAAGATGTTACAAATTAAAGATCTATACAGATGAAGAAGGCTACAAGGATTTTTGAAGTTTTTTGCAACTTTATAAATGAAACCAAGAATTTGAGTGCTCCTCTCAATTAAGAATTCATAATGATTCAAAAACACAATTTCTCATTGAAAATGATGCCTAGATCCCTAATTGTTTTCTTCCTTTCAAGACTAATATTGTGTAGACTATATTCAAAATTGATTTTTTGCCTCCTATGGCTAAACGTAATGACATTTGCACTTATTTACATTCAGCAACATATTATTTTTCAATTTCCCTGCACCATTTATCCACACTATCCAAATCTGATTGAAGTTTTGAAGCATCTTTGACATTATTGCCAACAGAATATATCTTAAGGTCGTCAGCATATAATAAACAAGGGCATTATTACAATTATTCTCCTTTTTGTATTTTAAATTTGCCTCCATTGGAGTATTCACTGTTTTACAATCAGTCATGTTAAACTTGGACAATAATTAATCAATATATTTCTCTTGACTCAAAGTAACAGTACAATTTTGTTCATCAAAACTAATTGACATACCAACACATTCCTTTACAATCCCTAAGCCTTTCAACACAAAATTTCACCTAGCATGCTCTTAAGATGATTGGTTTTAGTTTTATTATTTGAAAAAACAAAAAATCGTCAACATACAGTGTCACCATTGTTTTGCTACTGCCAACTGACTTTATATATAAACATGGTTCAATTTTAGATTTGACATAACCACTTGATAACATATAACTATCTACTTTCTAATGTTTTGCATATATATAGTTTCAGACAGATCACCATTCAAGAAAGCTGTTTTCACATCAAGATGAGTCACACCGAGATTCAATTGCACTGATAACAAGAATAATAATGTAAGTGTTTTATGACACACTACGGGGGAAAATGTTTCACTATAGTCTACACCATATCTTTGTGAACACACCTTAGCCACAAGCCTGGCCCGATAACATACATTATTTTCAGCATCACATTTCTTCTTGAGAACCCATTTGCACTTTACTATATTCCCGTTTGCAGGAATATCAACTTCTTCCCATAAACTGTTGTCTACAATGCTCTTCTTAAAAAATCATTTTCCCTTAATGTAAAAATACTTTTAAAAACATTATAATTAATCCAATATTTGTGGAAAAACCGCTTACGAATCATATCAATACCAAGAAAGCTATTAATTTTATCTTAAGGTCTTGGTATCATTAAATTTTAGATTTTTTGATAATTTTGGTGTACTGGAGGCGTTATCACAAACGGAAATTACTGAGCGACGTCTAATATTAATAAATATTTGTTATTTTTTTACAATCGATAACAAACTGAATACCTGATTAAACATTGTCCATTAATATTTTATTTCTTAGAATAGAAGATAAAACATCGCACATTAAATACTCGTTTTTAATTACAAATAATAATGTATATAGTAATAAAAATAATGTCCCCCGTTGCCGCAGATATATTCATGGAAGATTTCGATGTACGATCCCATTGCTCTCCTCCAATAAGACCTTTAATTTATAAACGGTATATAGATGACACCTTCACAATATTAAATAAAAATAAAACATCTGCTTTCCTCAACCATCTTAATTCTATGAATATCAAGATTCAGTTTTACACCGCAGGACCTCGAGACACCGTGAGCGCATTCTGCCGGCATCCAGAGCTCGATGATAAAATAACAAGACCGACTGACAGACACTCACATCTCGTCTGCCCGTGATCACGGTTGATGTAAGGTAGCCGAAACGTCGAGAGTATGTAGTTTATAGTCAAAAATAAAAAACCGAAAATGTTAGTTTCATTTAAAAAATAATGTAAATTACTCTTGCTGTTGTTCCCTTTAAGCCCTAATACAAACAGTCACTCATAAAATGACTTCAACAAATCCCTACTAATATTATAAATGCGAAAGTAACTCTGTCTGTCTGTCTGTCTGTCTGTCTGCTACGCTTTCACGCCTAAACCACTGAACTGATTTTAATGAAATTCGGTACAGAGATAGAGTTGACCTTGAGAAAGAACATAGGATAGTTTTTATCCCAGACTTTTGAAAGGTTCTCTTGGAAACGCGATATAACCGAACTCCACGCGGCGAAGCTGCGGGCGGAAAGCTAGTAATAAATAAAAAATATATCCTCAAATAAGTAGACAATGAATCGTAATATTGAAATGAAAACGAATTGATAACACCATACCGGTTCTTAATTCCTATTTCTCTGCTTTTTAATACTGATGAGAGTTTCAAGTAATAATTTTAATTAATTAATACAATTAATAATAAATTAACAATGAGAATTCATCAACACGATCAACGCCAGCTTTCAAAACATACAGTTACAGTTGTTATGCTGTTAGAATAGCTTCATTGTTATGAACTAGAACTGAATAAAAGAGCTGCCTGAAGTAAATCATCAGAAAAACCTTAAGAAAATATGTATAAAATGACATAGGAATTACTGTTGAGGTACAATTTTAATGTTCATAGTTACTTTCAGTTATGTGTTATGAAATGGCTGAAGCCAGTATTTAATTGATACTTGAATGTTGCATACAATATTACAATGGTTCAGTATTATTGTTAATTAAAATAAGTTATAAAAAATACCATAGTTTTACAAGATATATTGTAAAACTAAGGTATTTTTACAATAAACATAGAACAACACAGATGGCGGCATTTATTACAATGTAGTATTTCATAGAAAAGTAAGTCATAGTAAAATTATTAGTGAATTTACAAAATATTACTAGAATAGACTAGGTAGGTTTAAATTTGGTTGGTTATTCGATGAATATTAAGAAATGTTTTTTATATCTTTAATTGTACATATTTTAATTCTTTTATTACACAGATATATTAAGGAATTCATTTCTGCAAAAAAACAATAAAGATTTCGACAATTAGCCACAAATGACTTGATTAGTGATCGATGTAATAAAAATCACATATAATCAAATAAGATTAAGGCTATCAAATGATAAAAAAATTATATATATATAAGACAAAAAAAAATCGAAAAAGTTTGACATTAATAGGAATTTAATATTACTAACATGAGGTGCGCTTCATTTTTGTTAGGTTTGGTCCTCTTTGTGTCCGTGCATTGTCAGAATTACAGTCTACCCGCGGCGAAAAAGTGTGATCCGGAGAAATGCAAGTTGCCAAGCTGTAGATGCTCATCCACTGAAATCCCTGGAAACTTGAAACCCCGCAATACACCACAGGTGGATATCTTTTGACTAAAATCGATCTTACAGTTAACAGTACTATTTTCGATCATTTTGAAATATTTTACATAGAACATACAAAGTAATGGAGAGTTTAATACAATTTTTTGTCAGTTCGTTTTACTCACATTCGATGACGGCGTGAACGTAGTGAACATCGAAACCTACCGTGATATTCTGTACAACAGAGTCAACTCCAACAAGTGTCCCATCGGTGTGACGTTCTTCGTCAGCCATGAGTACACAGACTACAGCCTTGTCAACGAGTTATACAACCGGGGCTTTGAAATCGCTCTTCATTCGATCACTCACAAAAGTAATCAAACATACTGGAAAGAAGCGACCCTTGAAAATGTCACCAGAGAATTTGTAGATCAGAGGATTCTAATGTCCCGTTTTGCAAATATTCCCCGAACATCTATGCAAGGTTAGTATTGGTTATATTTTTTCCGAGTGCGCTCAATAAGTCCGTTTAATATACTTTCAAACCAAATATGAGTACTAGTAGATATATTTTATTCATAGCAATAAAACTATACATATTGTTACAGGGATCCGCAGTCCTTTCATTCAGTTGTCGGGCGACAGTACTTTTCAAATGATAAAAGACAACGGTTTGACTTACGATTTGAGCTGGCCGACCGTCAGGTTTACGGGCCCCGGTCTCTGGCCCTATACTCTCGACTACTCTTCCATCCAGGATTGCATCGTCCCTCCTTGCCCTACAGCGTCTATTCCAGGTGTTTGGGTCATTCCCATGATTTCCTGGACTGATCTGATGGGTTTCCCTTGCTCTTTTGTTGATGGATGTTATTCCACGTAACTATTTAACTAATATTCAACATTTAATCTAAACTATGAGAGAAATAAAGGAGTAACGAATGAATTGTTTACAGTCCCGACTTAAAAGACGAAGATGCTTGGTTCCAATTCATCGTTAGAGCATTCGAAAGGCACTACCTCGGTAATCGTGCTCCTTTCGGATTCTACGTCCACGAAGGTTTCGTTAGAGTCAATCCAGCAGTCAAAAGGGCTCTGGTTCGCTTCATAAATATGATCCAAAATATGCACGACGCATTTTTGGTAGTACATTTTCAGTAACATAGTGTATCCTTAATTATGAAATTACATCGGAACTAAAGGTATGTATATTTGTAAACACAGGTGAATGCTAATGAGGTCGTCAACTGGGTGAAGAATCCGGTTCCTCTGAATGAGTTTGTGAAACAGGATTGTCCTCGCTTTGTCCCAGCTGCCTGTCGTCGCACGACATGCTCGGGTCTGAGAGAGGAGGAAAGCGGCGTAAGTTATAGTTTAAGGAAAAATTAATCCTATCTGTTATGCTTCACGCTACGCCGTTCCCTTAAAAATTTTCGAATTCAATAACTAGTGTTTTGTAACTTATTTCAGAATACTTATTACATGAGAATCTGCAACAGATGTCCCCGAGTCTATCCTTGGCTCAACAATCCTCGTGGTGTCTAAATCATTTTATTACACGATAGAGTACAGCAAACGTCTTTTATTTTAAATAGTGAAAGAATATAACAGATTGCCCAAACCCTTTTACTAGTACAAGTAACTATATATTTAATATTTATATATTTATTATTTTCATATATTTGTCTAATAGAACACTAAAACTATTTTCTACTTTAATACAATAAAAATTAAAAAGAATAATATTATAATATTTTTAATAAAATATACAGTTGACTCCTCCCATGAGTTGTAATAATATTCAATGGTGTCGTCAACATAACATTATATTTTATTCTAGTGAAGTTATAAATAAACATATATACCTTTAATTACAAAACACGACTAAATTACAAAGAGAATAATTAAATCTGTACAACTTCTTTGTATAATTTTTGTTTATTCCCAATTTCAACGGAAAAATGACTTATTATATCTAAATATTCTTTTAACACAATCACCCTCTCCCGAATCATCACATCATTCCACACACCCTTAAATACATAACGATGTAGATCTACATCGTACGATTAAATAGCTCATTTCTCAATATGCTGTGTGCGAAGTTGTATTTAACTTTTTAAATAAATTTTATATTTACACGTTTGATTTCTGAACGCAAAAACCAACTTTTGACGGAAATCTTTTTTAAAACTTAGTATTTCATAAGTTCGGCGCCTAACAGTTATTTTAGCTGTTTACTGCGGATATTAAAAATTCGTTTTTTTTTGTGAAAAGTGGTGAAAACTGTAACGAAAATTGTTTCTGATAAGGATAAAAGGTAAGTATAATGTATTTATGTCATGGTTTTGATAATAATGGTATGTTTTGCGAAATATCCGTTGTTTTGTTGGTGATGTATAAATACATCACTATGAAAAATCAGTACTATTGCAATTCAATATTTTAATTCATGATGTTTAGAGTTTCTGAGAAGTATTTGTTATTATTTTTGTATAAATTGCAAAAGTGCTGTGATACTTGTAAACATTAATATATTTTTTAGTTATAGAATCTTTTTTCTATAAATATATCTTTCAATACAGTTTTTTTTGTAAGGATGGCGAAGCGATTACAAAGAGGGACATCGATGATTTATTGGCTGTTTTGAAAGATAGTGATGTGTTTGAAGATGGGTTGGATCATGACAATGACGATGAGGAAGGATTTTTTAATAAGGCCAGAGAAATCATGGAGGATTTGCAAGGAGAAGACATTGCCAACGACGATGAAACTTGTGATGAACTTACTCCTGAAGTTGGACAAGTTTCAGAAGACAGCGGTCAGCCTCACATTGATGACGAACAGGATATTCAGTTTGACAAAAGAAAACTAATTTGGAAAATAGGTAACTTATCATACTATAAAACCGCAATAGCTCACGAACCCAACCTCACAGATGAAAACATTTTAGACCTGGACATCCCTAAATAATGTTTTAGTCATTATCTTACCCCGGATTTTTTACAAAAAATTGCTAAAAAACACAAACAAACAAAAATTGAGACAAATCTATATTCTTGGCAAAAAAAAACCCAGCTTATCTAAATACCTAAAAAAAATTGTAGGTATTCTTTTTTTGTCTGTTCAACATTTTTCGGGTCGTTTCGGTCGTTTCGACAAGAAACAGAAACGTAAGGTAGAAGTGCTTTGTCCCATAACTGTACAAGAATACAATATGCCTAAAATACTACCCTTATGGATAGTTTCTTAGGACGCAACCGCATCCGCATCCGCAGTCGCAAATGTACCTTCGGCTATTTTAACACCTTTTAGACTTAGCAGTTATAAATTCCTGGGTGTAGTTCAAAAAGAACCGCATTGCAAATTGCATTCCCAAAAAACAACTACCAATCTTGGTCAGTTTCGAAATGAATTGGCTGATGCCCTTCGGAATATGGGATCAACCAAAGGCAGCAAAATAGGACGGCGAAGTAATGCCTTTCTTGACGAGGAATTACAGGCAAAGAAACAAAAAGGTCCTAGTCATCCATTTCAAGTATTGATGTAAGGAAAGATGGTATTGATCATTGGCCTGTCTTTTCTAATCGTCTTAGGTGCAAAATACCTAATTGCAAAGGTCATGTTCTAAATGTAACATGCGTCTTTCTCTGAATGCAAGAAATAACTGTTTTAGAGATTTTCACAAATAATATTAGTTATATCAAGATATTATAACTCCTTTATTGTTTAATTGACATATCAGCTGATTGGAACCTATTTTGCATGGTGATGTAGAAATACATCAACATAATTTTTCGAAATATTCGTCTCTAAAAAAGAAAAGTTTACTAATTCTCTTAATTTTAAGGGCTCTATATGTTATATTTTGATATTGTTTATTTTGTAGATATTTTTTGTGTTTAGTAACTTTTTTCGTGGTGTTTAATTTTACGGTTTAGCGTCTTCATTATGTAGCATTTTTTGCTTATTTAAAAAAAATGAGGCAGCGACTCATTTCTTTGTAAGTTTACATAAACAAAAGAATGTCATCATTCAACCCATTTTATCATCACCCTATCTGGGGACTGGAGGATCCCCCCCCCCCCCTTCGATATCATTTAGTTTTATTTACCTAAAATATATACTTTACTATTCTTACTTATCACTTCCATATTATTGCCATTAAGTGCTGAGGCCACCGCTGCTTATTAGATGGCAGAACAGTCAACTATAAGCATCGACGGTCAAAGCCGACAGCCAAAGTGTTTAGAAAAAAAACTACCTACCTACCTACCTACTTTCTACATTTAAGAGAGAAAGGGTCTGAGTTGGTAGACTCCAAGTACATGCGCAAGATAATCTGGCTATGCAACGAAATAATTAGTAATTAAAAATCTTAGTTTTACAATATATGTACAAAGAACAACACAGATGGCGGCACTTATTACAATGTAGTATTTCGTAGAAAAGTCTGTCAAAGTAAAATTATTAGTGACTTTACATAATACTCATAGAATAGACTAGGAGGTTTAAATCTGGATTATTATTCTATATATATAATAATAAGAAATGTTTTTTATTTCTTGAATTGTACATATTTTAATTCTTTTATTACACAGATATATTAAGGAATTCATTGCTGCAAAAAAACAATAAAGATTTCGACAATTAGCCACAAATGACTTGATTAGTGATCGATATAATAAAAATCACATATTATCAAATAAGATTAAGACTATCAAATGATAAAAAAATCATATATATAAGACAAAAAAAAAATCAAAAAAGTTTGACATTGATAGGAATTTAATATTACTAACATGAGGTGCTCTTCAATTTTGTTAGGTTTGGTCCTCTTTGTGTCTGTTCATTGTCAGAACGACAGTCTACCCGCGGCGGAAAAGTGTGATCCGGAGAAATGCAAGTTGCCAAGCTGTAGATGCTCATCCACTGAAATCCCTGGAAACTTGGAACCCCGCGATACACCACAGGTGGATATAGTTTGACTAAAATCGATCTTACAGTTAACATTTTAACACTAAGATCATTTTGAAATATTTTACATAGAACATACAAAGTAACGGTGATTGTAATACAATTTTTTCGTTCGTTTTGCACAGTTCGTTTTGCTCACATTCGATGACGCCGTGACTACAGTGAACATCGAGACCTACCGTGATATTCTGTACAACAGAGTCAACTCGAACAAGTGTCCCATCGGTGTGACGTTCTTCGTCAGCCATGAGTACACAGACTACAGCCTTGTCAACGAGTTATACAATCGGGGCTTTGAAATCGCTCTTCATTCGATCACTCACAAAAGTAATCAAACATACTGGAAAGAAGCGACCCTTGAAAATGTCACCAGAGAATTTGTAGATCAGAGGATTCTAATGTCCCGTTTTGCAAATATTCCCCGAACATCTATGCAAGGTTAGTATTGGTTATATTTTTTCCGAGTGCGGCTCAATAAGTCCGTTTAATATACTTTCAAACCAAATATGAGTACTAGTAGATATTTTATTCATAGCAATAAAACTATACATATTGTTACAGGGATCCGCAGTCCTTTCATTCAGTTGTCGGGCGACAGTACTTTTCAAATGATAAAAGACAACGGTTTGACTTACGATTTGAGCTGGCCGACCGTCAGGTTTACGGGCCCCGGTCTCTGGCCCTATACTCTCGACTACTCTTCCATCCAGGATTGCATCGTCCCTCCTTGCCCTACAGCGTCTATTCCAGGTGTTTGGGTCATTCCCATGATTTCCTGGACTGATCTGATGGGTTTCCCTTGCTCTTTTGTTGATGGATGTTATTCCACGTAACTATTTAACTAATATTCAACATTTAATCTAAACTATGAGAGAAATAAAGGAGTAACGAATGAATTGTTTACAGTCCCGACTTAAAAGACGAAAATGCTTGGTTCCAATTCATCGTTAGAGCATTCGAAAGGCACTACCTTGGTAATCGTGCTCCTTTCGGATTCTACGTCCACGAAGGGTTCGTTAGAGTCAATCCAGCAGTCAAAAGGGCTCTGGTTCGCTTCATAAATATGATCCAAAATATGCACGACGCATTTTTGGTAATACATTTTCAGTAACATAGTGTAATTAATTACGAAATTACATCGGAACTAAAGATATGTATATTTGTAAACACAGGTGAATGCTAATGAGGTCGTCAACTGGGTGAAGAATCCGGTTCCTCTAAATGAGTTTGTGAAACAGGATTGTCCTCGCTTCGTCCCAGCTGCCTGTCGTCGCACGACATGCTCGGGTCTGAAAGAGGAGGAAAGCGGCGTAAGTTATAGTTTAAGGAAAAATTAATCCTATCTGTTATGCTTCATGCTATGCCGTTCCCTTAAAAATTTTCGAATTCAATAACTAGTGTTTTGTAACTTATTTCAGAATACTTATTACATGAGAATCTGCAACAGATGTCCCCGAGTCTATCCTTGGCTCAACAATCCTCGTGGTGTCTAAATCATTTTATTACACGATAGAGTACAACAAACGTCTTTTATTTTAAATAGTGAAAGAATATAACAGATTGCCCAAACCCTTTTACTAGTACAAGTAACTATATATTTAATATTTAAATATTTATTATTTTCATTTTTTTTTAATAGAACACTAAAACTATTTTCTACTTATACAATAAAAATTAAAAAGAATAATATTAAAATATTTTTAATAAAATATACAGTTGACTCCTCCCATGAGTTGTAATTATATTCAATGGTGTCGTCAACATAACATTATATTTTATTCTAGTGAACTTATAAAGAAACATATATACCTTTAATTACAAAACACAACTGAATTACAAAGAGAATAATTAAATATGTGCAACTTCTTTGTATAATTCTTGTTTATTCCCAATTTCAACAGAAAAATGACTTATTATATCTAAATATTCTTTTAACACAATCACCCTCTCCCGAATCATCACATCATTCCACACACCCTTAAATACATAACGATGTAGATCTACATCGTACGATTAAATAGCTCATTTCTCAATATGCTGTGGGCGAAGTTGTATTTAACTTTTTAAATAAATTTGATATTTACACGTTTGCTTTCTGAACGCCAAAACCAACTTTTGACGGTAATTTTTTTTAAAACTTAGTATTTCATAAGTTTGGCACCTAACAGTTATTTTAGCTGTTTACTGCGGATATTATAAATTCGTTTTTTTTTTTTTGTGAAAAGTGGTGAAAACTGTAACGAAAATTGTTTCTGATAAGGATAAAAGGTAAGTATAATGTATTTATGTCATGGTTTTGATAATAATGGTATGTTTTGCGAAATATCAGTTGTTTTGTTGGTGATGTATAAATACATCACTATGAAAAATCAGTACTATTGCAATTCAATATTTTAATTCATGATGCTTAGAGTTTCTGAGAAGTATTTGTTATTATTTTTGTATAAATAGCAAAAGTGCTGTGATACTTGTAAACGTTAATATATTTTTTAGTTATAGAATCTTTTTTCTATAAATATATCTTTCAATACAGTTTGTTTTGTAAGGATGGCGAAGCGATTACAAAAGAGGGACATCGATGATTTATTGGCTGTATTGAGAGATAGTGATGTGTTTGGAGATTGGTTGGATCATGACAATGACGATGAGGAAGGTTTTTTTAATAACGCCAGAGAAATCATGGGGGATTTGCAGGGAGAAGACATTGCCAACGACGATGAAACTTGTGATGAACCTACTCCTGAAGTTGGACAAGTTTCAGAAGACAGCGATCAGCCTCACATTGATGATGAACAGGATATTCAGTTTGACAAAAGAAAACTAATTTGGAAAATAGGTGACTTATCATACCATAAAACTGCAATAGCTCACGAACCCAACCCCACAGATGAAAACATTTTAGACCTGGACATCCCTAAATAATGTTTAATCATTATCTTACCCCGGATTTTTAACAAAAAATTGCTAAAAAACACAAACAAACAAAAATTGAGACATATCTATATTCTTGCCAAAAAAACCCAGCTTATCCGATCAATATTAAATGTAGCGACATAAAAAAAATTGTAGGTATTCTTTTTTGTCTGTTCAACATTTTTCGGGTCGTTTCGGTCGTTTCGGCAAGAAACAGAAGAAGAAGAAAGAAGAAGAAGAAGAAGAATTCCTGGGTGTTGTTCAAAAAGAAGCGCATTGCAAATTGCATTCCCAAAAAACAACTACCAATCTTGGTCAGTTTCGAAATGAATTGGCTGATGCCCTTCGGAATATGGGATCAACCAAAGGTAGCAAAATAGGAAGGCGAAGTAATGCCTTTCTTGACGAGGAATTACAGGCAAAGAAACAAAAAGGTCCTAGTCATCCATTTCAAGTATTGATGTAAGGAAAGATGGTATTGATCATTGGCCTGTCTAGTCGGTGGTGGCCTAGTGGTTAAAGGGCCCGCCTCTCGTTGCCGAGGGCGCGGGTTCGATCCTGGCCCGGGCAAGTACCAATGTGATTTTTCCGAGTCATATGTACTTTCTAAGACTATTTAGACATCACTGATTAATGTTGATTCCCAAAAGAGGGTTGATGTCAGGCAGGCGGCCGGTCGTAAAAACAAATAGCCAAAACTATTCACAACATGTAAGGCAGACCCTGGCTATAGCTGGGAAATTGCCAGGGAGAAGAAGAAGAAGAAGAAGATCATTGGCCTGTCTTTTCTAATCGTCTTAGGTGCAAAATACCTAATTGCAAAGGTCATGTTCTAAATGTAACGTGCGTCTTTGTCTGAGTGCAAGAAGTAACTGTTTTAGAGATTTTCATAAGTAATATTAGTTATATCAAGATATTATAACCTCTTTATTGTTTAATTGACATATCAGCTGATTGGAACCTATTTTGCATGGTGATGTAGAAATTCATCAACATAATTTTTCGAAATATTCGTCTCTAAAAAAGAAAAGTTTACTAATTCTCTTAATTTTAAGGGCTCTATATGTTATAGTTTGATATTGTTTATTTTGTAGATATTTTTTGTGTTTAGTAACTTTTTTCGTGGTGTTTAATTTTACGGTTTAGCGTTTTCATTATGTAGCATTTTTTTCTTATTTAAAAAAAAATGAGGCAACGACTCATTTCTTTGTAAGTTTACATAAACAAAAGAATGTCATCATTCAACCCATTTTATCATCACCCTATCTGGGGACTGGAGGATCCCCTCCCCCTTCGATATCATTTAGTTTTATTTACCTAAAATATATACTTTACTATTCTTACTTATCACTTCCATATTATTGCCATTAAGTGCTGAGGCCGCCGCTGCTTATTAGATGGCGGAACAGTCAACTATAAGCATCGACGGTCAAAGCCGACAGACAAAGTGTTTAGAAAAAAAAACTACCTACCTACCTACCTACTTTCTACATTTAAGAGAGAAAGGGTCTGAGTTGGTAGACTCCAAGTACATGCGCAAGATAATCTGGCTATGCAACGAAATAATTAGTAATTAAAAATCTTAGTTTTACAATATATCTACAAAGAACAACACAGATGGCGGCACTTATTACAATGTAGTATTTCGTAGAAAAGTCTGTCAATGTAAAATTATTAGTGACTTTACATAATAGTCATAGAATAGACTAGGAGGTTTAAATTTGGCTTATTATTCGATATATATAATAATAAGAAATGTTTATTATTTCTTTAATTGTACATATTTTAATTCTTTTATTACACATATATATTAAGGAATTCATTGCTGCAAAAAAACAATAAAGATTTCGACAATTAGCCACAAATGACTTGATTAGAGATCGATATAATAAAAATCACATATTATCAAACAAGATTAAGACTATCAAATGATAAAAAAATCATATATATAAGACAAAAAAAAAAATCAAAAAAGTTTGACATTGATAGGAATTTAATATTACAAACATGAGGTGCGCTTCATTTTTGTTAGGTTTGGTCCTTTTTGTGTCTGTTCATTGTCAGAACGACAGTCTACCCGCGGCGGAAAAGTGTGATCCGGAGAAATGCAAGTTGCCAAGCTGTAGATGCTCATCCACTGAAATCCCTGGAAACTTGGAACCCCGCGATACACCACAGGTGGATATCTTTTGACTAAAATCGGTCTTACAGTTAATATTTTAAGATCATTTTGAAATATTTTTCATAGAACATACAAAGTAACGGTGAGTGTAATACAATTTTTTCGTTCGTTTTGCTCAGTTCGTTTTACTCACATTCGATGACGCCGTGACTACAGTGAACATCGAGACCTACCGAGATATTCTGTACAACAGAGCCAACTCGAACAGATGTCCCATCGGTGTGACGTTCTTCATCAACCATGAGTACACAGACTACAGCCTTGTCAACGAGTTATACAACCGGGGCTTTGAAATCGCTCTTCATTCGATCACTCACAGAACTAATCAAACATATTGGAAAGAAGCGACGGTGGAAGAAGCCACCAGAGAATTCGTAGATCAGAGGATTCTCATGTCCCATTTTGCAAATATTCCCCAAGGATCTATGCAAGGTTAGTATTGGTTACATTTTTTTTTTGAGTGCGTCTCTTTCAAACTAAATATGAGAAGTACTAGATATTTATTCATAGCAATGAAACTATACTTTATGTTACAGGTATCCGCAGTCCTTTCATTCAGTTGTCAGGCAACAGCACTTATCAAATGGTAAAAGACAACGGTTTGACTTACGACTTGAGCTGGCCGACCGTCAGGTTTACGGACCCCGGTCTCTGGCCCTACACTCTCGACTACTCTTCTATCCAGGATTGCGTCATCTCTCCTTGTCCTACAGCGTCTATTCCAGGTGTTTGGGTCATTCCCATGATCTCCTGGACTGATCTGGAGGGTTTCCCTTGCTCTTTTGTTGATGCCTGTTTTTCCAAGTATTTTTTTAACAAATATTCAATATTTAATCAAAATTATAAAAGAAATAAAGGAGTAACGAATGAATTGTTTACAGTCCCGACTTAACAGACGAAGATGCTTGGTTCCAATACATCGTAAAAGCATTCGAAAAGCACTACTTCGGTAATCGTTCTCCTTTCGGATTCTACGTCCATGAATGGTTCGTTAGAATCAATCCAGGCGTCAAAGGCGCTCTGGTTCGCTTCATGAATATGATCGAAAATATGAACGACGCATTTTTGGTATTACATTTTCAGTAAAATAGATTATCTATCATTAATTACGAAATTACATCGGAACTAAAGATATGTATATTTGTAAACACAGGTGAATGCTAATGAGGTCGTCAACTGGGTGAAGAATCCGGTTCCTCTGAATGAGTTTGTGAAACAGGATTGTCCTCGCTTCGTCCCAGCTGCCTGTCGTCGCACGACATGCTCGGGTCTGAGAGAGGAGGGAAGCGGCGTAAGTTATAGTTTAAGGAAAAATAAATTATAGAATAGAATAGAATATACTTTATTGTACACCACAAACAGTAAATTTTACAGGGAAAAAAAATATATAAATTGGAATGTACAAAAAGGCGGTCTTATCGCTAAGCAGCGATTTCTGCCAGACAATCATATCTGTTATCCCTCATTATTTTAGGCCGCTCTCTTAAAAATACGGATCTTTAATAACTTGTATTTTTTAAATATATTTCAGAATACTTATTACATGACAATCTGCAACAGATGTCCCCGAGTCTATCCTTGGATAAACAATCCTCGTGGTGTCTAAATCATTTTATTACACGATAGAGTACAACAAACGTATTTTATTTTAATCAGTGAAAAGATATAACACTGCCCAAACCCTTTTTACTAGTACAAGTAACTGTACTTCATATATTTGTAACACAAAACATAAAAACTATTTTCTACTTATACTATATACATTAATATGAATAATATTAAAATATTTTTAATAAAATAAGTTATCTTTGGAAACCAGTTAACCGATTTCATTACTTCCTCTCACGGTTTGAAACCGATATGACCTAAGTATTTGACCGTAGAATTTTTACGTAAACTTCCAACTTGCAAAAACGAGCACTACTGACCTATACTTAACAATGAAGGGATTGCCTGTATAATAGATAGTTTTTAATGTTATAATTACTTTTAATATCAATACATGCCTGACCTTTCGTTGATTGTATTATTGAGTTATTTAATTAATACTCTTGCAACTGATACTACACCTCAGTGCATATCATATATGGTCTTTTGTTGACTCTTCATCGGCATGCTCGATACGATTTCCAAGTATATATTCAATCTGAATAAAGTAAGTTGTTTGGATACTAATGGCACAATACGTGATCAAAAAGATTCACCTTTAAATGATTTACTGTAGACCGAACTGGAATCCAATAAGTAACTCTACCCTTTACTTCCTTAATACTAAAACTTCTTGCTTTAAGGACTTCCCTATAGGTTGGAGGGAATGACAGACTTTGAACATTTACTCAAAAATTAATCCATAGGGACACAGGGAGTGTAGGCATGTTGAATATATGTTTACTACATGAACCTACTGTTCCTGGACCCATGTATCTTTAGTCATATAATGTGTACTTCCTTCTATCCTCGTATCGGGAAGCCTTGCTTGTTGTTGATAAAAATTGATTGTCAACATAGATTAGTTATTATAAATGATGTACATATCGATACTGTATTAATTATTATATTTTTTATTTTTCGTCAGTCGCTATCTGTTACCTACACTGATATAATCTTTCTTAAAATAATAATAATATCTTTTTAATTAATGAAAGAACTATAATGATTTTTTATGAAAATATTATCTTATCAGTGAAAATATTAAAAATAGGCATTTATATTGAAGCTTTGTTTGCTAGGTCAGTTTCAAAAATTTAATACAATCTTTGTTCGCCTTTCGTTTTGGTCACACCTGTCCTTACATTTAGTGTTACCATTTAATATTCTGTACAAAACCAAAACATAATTTGAGGCTGTCATCAATTCTTATTAAAACTCATTAGTATTCATGATTATTGTTAAAAGTATGTAAAACGAAATCAAAGATTGTTTAAAAATAGAATGGAAGTATGTTTAAATCTTGGTATAAATATGACGTCTGGACGCACAACGGTAGTGTTGAGAGTTCAGTTAGTGCGGACCATTGAAGATTGTGATTATGAAGAATCTTCGAGAAGTACAAGGAAATTAAGAACAATTGAAGTTTCATTTTAAAATATCATGGAACGTTCTAGAAGAAGTGACCTTTGTAACGTCAGAGAGGCTCGCATCTCTTTCTCTTTAAAAACTACGAATTTCTAATAAATCCGATATATACTATATACACTTAATTTAATAAAAAGATAATAACATCTACCAAGTGAACCAACATCTTTTTAGATTCACCTCTAAGTACACACTTCTAGGTTAACACTGGTTACACTTCTCTATATATGAGGATATTCCAATATAACAAGTTCGTAAAGACTTCATACTAATTAATAACGTAAGTAAGAAGGAATTTTTAAATTTTAATCTTTTCCACTTAAAAGGTAGCGTGACCAGTAAAATATATTGATTTCTTTATTAGCATCTAGTTTTCTTGCTCCACTGTTTGTTATACTATAGATTAAAAATTCGATCGTTTACATTCAAAAGTGGGCTCTGATAGATGATGATGATGATGAATCAGTAAATGAGATTAATTCCATTTATTTCAGTCTGAAACATATTGATATGAATACTCATCCTACAGTACACACTTGACTAAAAGTGTATGCGCCTCATATGACTAGATATTTATAAAAATTATTACTACTCGTTATTTTGAATGATAAAAATATATATATTCTCTACTCATTAGTTGAGAAATATGTCTAGCAGTGGACCTCACATGGCTGACAACTCGTAAATCTTTTGACAAATCTCTTACTTAGAACATCGCAGACGCGGCTCTAGTCAAAATGTGTTTATTTTGTACCCTCACCTCTATTCATACCAACCACCACTCATCGTTATAACTGCTCTCGTACATGAAGCTACGAAGCTGTTTATTGAGATGACACCTGATCATTTTAAACATCCATTATTTTTAATTACGTAAATGAAAGGTATTCACTCCGATATAGATAAGAGAATTGATTTCATTACTTACGTTGTTAACAATACAGTCAATGATATGAATAATGATAGCAATTAAGAATAAACTATAAGGATCATATTATGTGGAGAATCACAAAGCGAACTACAGAATAAACGCAGCTCCTGGCTATGTTGAAACAACGCTTTGGTTATATCGAGTACATTGAGAGTTCTGTATCCAGTCAAGTTCGTTTATAAACAGATGACACCATTTTTTTTTCAATTGTATGTAGCTGTAAGCCTTAATGGAATTGACAGTCACCGACAGGGGAAGTGTACACCAGTCACCAGCGACAAGCGTCGTTTTATGACTTTCTACAATATTACTTTCCATTTTACAATATCAATACTGATCTTACAGCCAAGTGATTAACAGTGATAATAATTAATACAACAAATAATGTCATAATAATCATTTTAATACAATAATAACAGTCAGAGCAATATGAACACTGTTTTGAACAAAACCATACTGTCAAAAGTAATTGAGTAATAACAGTTAGTAATATACAGATACTCTTGCATTCCCTAGAATTGTATCGACAGCCTACTTCAAGTTATACATTTTTCAAAAAGGGACAATTTTTTCTCAACAGCAAAATGTTTTTTATAATCATACAAACATCACAACTCTAGTTTAGTTATTAACGTCACTTCATGTTATGTTTTGTCTCGTCTCCTGAACGATGATTGTCTCCCTACACGGAACGTGTTCATCGCGTCACAGAAGCTGCCCGGTGATGAAGGACACTCCGCCTTCACTGGACTACTCGACCTAGTGACAACATCAATCATTACATAACAAACTATTACAAAGTACGTAAACCTAAGTGTAGTGTTTGTATCTATACAATAAATAACATCTGGTTACCGAGCTTTCGTCAGCATTTAGGAATTATTAGTATTTATTTTGTGTTTTTTCCTGTTACTTAATAACGTCATCTGCTGTTGTGTCGTTAAAACAATTATTAAAAGCAATTAGCAAAAAGTAGTATTACTAGTCGCCAAAAGATGTCAGGAAGTCGTATTTTAAACGACTCTTTTTTAATTTTTTGCTCATTTAAATATATAAAATAATACACTGTCTCACGTACCACACTAGAGGGGTTGGCATGTGCTCGGCTGTCTAATGACTAGCGCGGAGTAGAACGGGGACGTGCGCCTGCGGTCTAGGCGGGGTAGTAGTGAGACAGGGACCAGTTATATAAACATAGAGGACTAGAGGTCCACACTAACGATATTGATTGTATACAGGGTGACTGGTGAATTACTATCAATATTTAAGGAGCATACTCGGTACATGATTCTCATTCGAATTATGTAAAAAAAAATAGGTACTTAATTTTTGACAAAATTTCCGTATAAATAAATAAAGCGTTGACACGTTCCAAGTGTTCCAAGTGTAGACGCGTGCGGCGGCGTGCTGATACAACACCACGCCGCGCGCGCGTATGTGTGAGTGTGTGTGTATACCTAATCTGTAGGGTGGTTACACGATGCGTAATTAATTACACAACTTTTGGTTAACTTTACTTAGAAGTTTATTAATATTTATGTTATATTAATTTTTATTTTGTCATATATGATCGTCAAATATCACGTCCTCAAGTATCGATAGTAATTCACCAGTCACCCTGTATAATACGCAGTTATATCATAATTATAAAGTCATTATGATGTTTTACATAATTTAAAGAATAGAGCGCTGGAAATCATTTCATGTAAGAACAAGTATAGTGCGTTTGATTTAAGCTGAGCTTTTCATTTGTGTAAGTGTACACGGATAGTGTAGGTGTGATGTCAAATTATTGAATGACACGTTCTTTTTAATAGTTTTGAACCGCTTTATGTTTTTACTTCGCCCCGTACCTTCCACACCTCACCTTTTGTACTGGTAGCAACATCAAATGTTGAAAACGCAATGTCAAGTGAGGAAGAATTTGTATTGTTTTTTCAAAATTTTTATTACTGAATAATTTTTTTCCATAATATTTCCATTTAGCCTTTTACATGTTTTGCTTATTTTATTTTTAATCTAGAATAAAAATAAAATAAGCATTAATAAAATTTAATTCTAAGTTTTTTGTCTGACTTTACTTTTACTTTCACTCACACAAATGCGATGCTCAGTTTAAGTCTAACGGACTATAACTTGTTGTATTCATCGTTCCCTCACTAACCTGTACAAGTCATACGCGCTACAGTAGGGCGTCTCCACGGGTTCAGTAGTGTCCAGTTTAGAGTGATCGATCACATACTTCTGTCTGCGAGAATCATATCTGAAAACACAACGAAATAACTTTAATATATAGTGTAGAAGAAAAAGTTTAAAGATTTCTTTACAACATTTGTTTTGTCAATTCAAAATCTCTAAATATATTTAAAAAACGATTAAGAACTTATATATTAGATGATATGACTGATCTTGTTTAATATCACTATTGTTTATTATTTGTAATATTAATTGTTGTTATAATTTTTAAAATTTCCTTTGTAAGCGAAATTTGTTCTTTTTGGAAATAAACTTCTTTAAACCTTCATTTGTTTTCAATAAATAAACACTAAAATGTGTTGGAATTTGAAACTGAAGTGTTAAAGGAAGTTATCGTCTTCAGGTTGTATGGACAAAATTAATGAATTTTCTCCCTTGATATTATAAACTTTAAAAAAACGAGTATTATTGATAAATGTTTTTGTGACTAGCACAGACCAACACAGGTTTATACTAAATTAGTAATACATTGGACCAATGTCTTTACATGTAATTTAATTATATTATATAATAATACACGAGAGTATCCAAACAGTTTCTAACTTAACGACAGACAGGAACCGATGTCCCCACACGACCTCGCGAGGCAGGTACGAGCTCTGACTCTGAGTGAACGTGCCCATTGATGAAGACGCGCCCTTCAGACTTATTGTTATCTCGAAACTGGAAATATACATAGACATTACTGTATATAAGACAAAATATATACACTTGTATATGTTTACATCGGTCAAAATTGCGATTTTTTAATTGTTTGGTAATAAGTTGGTAATATGTTATTGTCTTTTGTAATTTATGTACATTTTATATTGTATTATTATTGGTAGTATTTTTTGTTTCCCCTTTTGTATAATAGACGTAGAAAAAAAAAGTTGTGTTAGGTTAATAGAAAATACTGTCCTTTTCCATGCCGTGATAACTTTTAATTGAAACAACACTTAGCTAAAAATGTAATTACCTTTATTTTAAAACCTATAAATAGTGTATGTTTTGTAAGTTGTCCTTATATATAAAAAAGTACCTAATATATAGAAAAGATAGATCAGTTCAAACAACATAGTGAAATAGATTACTCTTATTAGACATAGGTCTACACGTATTATTGTTGGCTGATGAATGTTTAGAACATTCAACGTGGTTATGAATACCAAACTCGGAAAATATGTTCAGTTGTTTCTATAGTAAGTAACGTTGGTATAAACATTAATACTAAGTTATAACTCACCTGTACTCATTAATATTCTTGGGAGTCATTCTGTACAGCGGACTCTGCTCGTCTATCTCGTGAACCAACGTCACCGGCCACAGAAGGAACTGTCGCTGATGGAGACGCAGCGACCGGGCGTGGTAACGAATTACTTCACCTTCCTTTGTTCTACGGTCAAAATATATAAATTTCATAACATATTTATCAATCATATAAAATTAGGTAATGATATAAAAGTTTATGTACCAATATGGCAAAAAATAGCTTTATTTGTATTTATTTCTAAGAAAAACGCTTTCTATTTGTCATGGACTGGCAGAAACCATCTCGGAATATTGGAAGACAACAAGAAATTTGTCATTTATTATTAATTGTATATCTGCAACTATTAATATACTAAACTATATCAAAAAGAAATTAAAAATGAAAGAAAACTATTGAATTTAAATATCAACCAAGAACCGCGCCCAACTAACCAAACCCTCTTATTTAATCAACTCTTCATCCGCCATATCACAGAGACTGACCTCTTTAACGTGTTAGTAATTTTTAGCTTAAACTGTCTACTTGACTTAGTATTATTTATGTGTAATGAAAAGGTTGTAGTAAAGTGCGTTTGATTTGAGCTGAGCTTTGCATTTGTGTGATTGTACACGGATAGTGTAGGTGTGATGTCAAATGTTTGAATGAAACGTTCTTTTCTAGTTTTGAACCAGTTTATTCTGCTTTTACTCCGCCCCGCACCTTCCTCACTTCACCTTTTGTACTGGTAGCAACATCAAATGTTGAAAACGCAATGTCAAGTGAAGAAGAATTTGTATTATTTTTTCAAAATTTCTATTACTTAAAAATTTTTTTTCAATAATATTTCCATTTAGCCTTTTACATGTTTTGCTTATTTTATTTTTAATCTAAAATAAATCTAGCACTTATGTTATGTATCTATTTAACATATAATAAAATTGAATTCTAAAAGTTTCTTGTCTAACGCTACATTTACTGTCACTCACACAAATGCAAAGCTCAGCTTAAGTCTAACGGACTATACATACTGTCAGTATGTTTATAATACGAACCTGTGCGTGTTAATGAAGTGAGCTGAGAACTCGGTGCTAATGATGTGGTCGTAGTTGAGGTCCCACACACGGAACATGAGACACAGGCGACCGTCACGACAACAGATCTGAAACAGAACACATACAGGGAACACTTGAAATAATATAATGAAACATAGACCTTACATATTATTTACATCAACCTTTATAAATATTACACTAGAAACTCGGTTATCCAGCCCTCAGTTATACGGATTCGCGATTATTCGGACAAGAAAAAATGTCGAGCGTAAGCAAGTGGTGTTGTTGAAAGTTGCGTACGTCAAATGACAATTTTCTAAATTTTGTAAACCAAAAAAAAAATATTTTAATTCATTACTACCAATTGCAAATTACCAAATAAATATTGTAATTTATTCTTTAAATCAACATAATATTATGAACTACATATGCACAAAACCGGCTTTTCTTCATATTTTCGATTATCCGAATGCCTATCGACAACAATTAGTCCGGTTAATCGAGTTTTTATTGTAATATATCATTTCTTCAGTCTTAAGAAAACTCGAAAGAGCATATAAAGAAACATCATGACTAGAATGTTGAGTCAGGCTGGCTACTGGCTTAACTTTGTAGTTAGTCATACAATATTTGTAGCTTTAATTACATAGTATTATTATAATAATATCATTATAATTATAATTACTTCATCTAAAGTAATATTTATAACTCCGGTCTGGTTCTTACTGTATACATATAACTAATATGTTATATTTTACTTACAACAGCTTTCTTACTAAACCCGACTCCGTCCCTCGTCATTTTCTCAGGTCTCGTTAGTTTAGCGTACACCACACACGTGAGAACTCCGGACAAACCGGTGCCGAGGATTAACTGAAATATATTACATCACTAATATTAATAATAACATATGGTTTAACATACTTTACAACAAAATACCGTCTACTATAAGAAATGCAAGCTCAATTAATGAATTTAAATCTCGACTTGCACAACATATTTTAGAAAATAATTGATATACCGATGATGTAACACACTTGTAATAATATATTACTATCTTTAATTGAGTTCCAAACAATCTGGCGACTACTTTTGTATGTACACATGTTCTCAGGTGACTATGTCTTTTTGAGAATAAATTCTTTAAACCTTATTTGTTAATGATGTAAGTGAAAGAAAGTAGACTCAGTAATGTCCTAGTGATTAAAAGGTCCGCCTCTCATGAACGAGGGCGCGGGTTCGATCCTGGCAAGTACCAATGTGATTTTTCCGAGTCAAGCTACTTTCTAAGAGTATTTAGACATCACTGATTAATGCATTTCCAAAGAGGGTTGATGTCAGGCAGGCGGCCGGTCGTAAAAATAAATAGCCAAAACTATTCACAACATGTAAGGCAGACCCTGGCTATAAATTGCCAGGTAGAAGAAGTAAGTGAAAAACATTAAACCTGCATTATAAATAAGAAGATGGACTCTGGACACTCCTCGTCGATGGCGCGGTCACCGAACCCGATGGTCGTCTGAAAACATTTTATAAAAATTATATATCGATTAATGTAAATTTCTTTATGTTGTATATTTTGATACATAATAAGTTTTCTATTGATCTTATAAGATATCAATGTTATCAAGAGACTTGTAACGCATCGTATTGTTACTGTTTTGTAACATATTTACTAATATATGTATAACGTGTTTTCTCACTTAAAAGGGATATAACATATTTCAATATTTTATTTTCCCTAACTTCAACATGCAAACAAAACTAAAATCTGTTTAAACATGAGATTTAAATGATTCTGTATATAATCGGTTACATTCATCGTCATTCATTCATTCAGTTTGAATGAGATGTTGTTAAGTACAATGTAAGCTTGATACATGACCGGACGGCAGACCTATTGACTAATATTTATTGTCTCGTAAACTTCACCGACATGTGAATAAAAGAAAAATACTTCAATTAAAACTTAACCAAAGAAATGATAATGTAAATAGAAAATAATTTTAAAAATTAAAATTTAATTTTATTGACCTCTAAGGATATGAAGTTCTTTTGACGGTAAAAATAATTCCGGAAATTAACGATTTTGGAGTAATGAGTGTGATTCATGAATAAACTCAGTGAACGATGTTTGACGGCGGCTCTTTACATCTTAAACTGATACATCGACTACGAAAAGATAATTGAATGATTACAATTACAGACATTAAGTTCGATTAGAAATTGTGGAAGATTCGGCAAAGGAAACTACTCTAACTTTATTAACAACCTCACTATGAATATTTCATATTATTTCTAATGTTTGTATTTTCGTTTGCACGAGGGAAGTAATTTATTGGCACTTGGCAAGACATATTTGAAATATTTACAAATGTTATTAATACCTGTCAAGTGTGAAGTGAAAATATACACAGACATACACACACTCGCAATATATAAATTAACGCATGTGTTACAGAATCAGTGTTCAAATGTTAAATGTTAATATTGGACAGTAAGTTAAATTATGTAGAAGCATGAAAATTTATTTAGAGGAAACGGAAAACGATGTCAAACATTCAGATACTACTTCTCTATATCTATTATAACATATGTACAAATAAACACGATTTCAATCGTTTCATATAACTAGTAATTGGTTGTGTTGTAAGTAAATAAACTATTCATATTATAAACGCTACATAGGTTCTAATATGAGTTATATTTAGTCGTTAGACATAATACAGGTTAATATGAAGTAGTTATAACATGGCGTTTTTCAAACAAAGTGTTCAGGTGGCTCCTTTACATCCTTTTAACTAATGTTATAATATAGTCACTTTAACTGTGAATATTCAATATGTATGTTGTAGGTGTGCTTGTTGTAAATAAATAAATAAACAAGGCCGGCAACGCATCTACAATACTCTTTGTGTTGCATATGTCTATGAGCGACAATGACTACTTTCTATCAGGTTTGTCAAGTTTATCCCTTTGGGTCAATTAAAAATAGTAGTTATTATAATAATATTAATTACTTGTGCTTCAACGGATGCGAGGAAGATGGTGACGAAGTCTGTTCCTCCTGTGACGCAGGTCCGTAGAGGAGGCTCGGGTCCCAGGTCGTAGTGAGCGAGCGCCGTCACGTACCAGAACACAGCGAACACCAGCCACAGGGAGAAGTGAACCACCACCGTGCCTACCACCAGCCAGCGCCAACGGAGATTTATCTGGAGACGACAAACAAGAAATACTAGAGAGGTACGAACTCAAACTCAAATAACTTTATTCAATATAGAAGCATTACACTTCCTTATTGATGGTCACTTGAGACACTACCACCGGTTCGGAAAAGAAAACACCCTGACCTGAGAACCAGCGAAAGAAACTCAGCGGGTTTATATATATATATATACTAGTTTTTGCCCGCGACTTCGTCCGCGTTAATTTCGTCATTAGTAATATAGGTATAGCTGACCGGGCACACTCTATTCCGTTTTCAATAACCCGGTATTGGTATTTATTAAATTTCTACTGTTTCAATCGAACAGAATGATTGACATATTAGTTAGTTGTCAAGTCTAATGTCAAAAAATCGTTTGTATCGGAAATAGAAAAGGGCTGTTTTTAGGGTTTTCCCGGCAATTTTTCCAATTTTTCTCCCCTTTTAATCCGTCCCTGGACTTCCAGGAGTATTTCAAGACTAAAATTAGCCAAATCTGTTCAACCGTTCTCGAGTTTTAGCGAGACTAAGGAACAGCAATCCATTTTTATATATATAGAAGATAATCTATATGAAAACAAAAAAGTGTTATTATTATGTAATTAAATACTGTCCTAAAACAAATAAAGTACCTACTATATAGAAAACAACTACAAAATGAAACTGTGTTTAAAAAGTAATATTACTCTCTCCCGCCGCGCCGGCCAGCGCAGAGAGCGAGTTGGTTTTGTTTCGGAGTTATTTATCATTGTAATCTTTAAAGGTTTTTTGTTGAAATTAAGTTATGTCAAAGATAATTTTATTCACAATGAAGTACTCTTAACCAACAACATATTTATTTGTTTATTTGAATAAAGATTAATATTATTATGTTGATACAACTTAAACAAATTATTTCGACCAAATTAGGTACCATAAAAACGGTTTTTGTGAGTTAATCTTAAAAGATAGACATATACTGTCGCGGACTGTTTTTTAGATCATTAAAAGAGCTATTATTCTTTAATACATATTTTTTGTGTATCTTGAACCGTTTTCACAGCGCACGCAACGGAAGGCTTCAAAGATGAAATAATTTCTCCCGTTTTCAACACATTTACCATTATATCTTTGCTCCTATTGGTCGTAGCGTGATGTTATATAGCTTACAGCCTTCCTCGATATGGACTATCCAACACAAAAAGAATTATTCAATTCGAACCAGTAGTTTCGGAGATTAGCGCTTTCAAACAAACAAACAAACAAACAAACTCTTCAGCTTTATAATATTAGTATAGATGTATTTGTCTCATATAGTCAGTGGTGGCCTAATGGGTAGAGGGCCCACCTCTCGTTGCCGAGGGCGCAGGTTCGATCCTGGCCGGGGCAAATACCAATGTGATTTTTCCGAATCATATGTACTTTCTAAGAATATTTAGGCATCACTGATTAATGCATTCCCAAAAGAGGGTTGATGTCAGGCAGGCGGCCGGTCGTAAAAAACAATTATCAAAAACGATTCACAACATGTAAGGCAGACCCTGGCTATAGCCGGGAAATTGCCAGGTAGAAGAAGACTATAGTTATGATTTGCATCGTATTGCACATTCTAAACTCTTACCTAACGATAATATGCTTAGCATACACTATATATATTGTGTTGACTTTTTTCGCTATTCCACTTTAGTAAACTTGGTAAAATGAATCCTTTAGGCCTCGGCCTCGAATTTTGCGGGCAGCGGAGCGGCAGCGGCGGCGGCACGGAAACGCATACATTTCTCCAAACTAGCGGGCAGCGGGCGCCGCTGTATTCGAGGGTCGGTCCATTTGATTATACGCGTAAGATCCTGCCGCTCCCGCTGCCGCTCCGCTGCCCGCAAAATTCGAGGCCGAGGCCTTACAACAGGAGAGTACTGTCGCCTGAAATACAGGTTTACACCAAGCTCAGGGACAGTAGATTGTTATTTACTTATAATACCTTTTACCTTTATGCATTGTTTAAATTATGTTAATGTCTACACAATTGTAATGTGTTTGAGATAAATAAACATTCTTCTTCTTCTACCTGGCAATTTCCCAGCTATAGCCAGACCCTGGGGTCTGCCTTGCATGTTGTGAATAGTTTTAGCTATTTGTTTTTACGACCGGCCGCCTGCCTGACATCAACCCTCTTTGGGAATCAACATTAATCAGTGATGTCTAAATACTCTTAGAAAGTACATATGACTCAGAAAAATCACATTGGTACTTGTCAGGGCCAGGATCGAACCCGTGCCCTCGAGCTTGAGAGGCGGCTTTCTTAACCCCTAGGCCACCACTGACTCTAAGATAAATAAACATTATTATTATAAAATCAATTTAAACACTCACCAATGTATGAAAGGTGTCGTTGAGGAGTCGTATTTTAGCGAACGGTACGTTTGAGATGAGCGCCACGTTCTCGTTCCCGCTCTTGGAGACGAGACGTTTGGGAAAGTCACAGTGAGCCTTGTATCGAAGTGGAGGTTCTAACCTGCAGGTGACATATAGTGTTCTATTTGAAATAAATTACAGTTCTTAAGATAAATAACATCATCTCATTAAACGTCTTACTCTCTGGATTCTAATTCGTTTAGATATTTTCTATAGCAAGCATCAACTTTTTTAGAAACCTGACATTGTATTTATATAGAAAATGTAAGTTAATATTGTGAACGTTTATTATAATTTTGATTAAAAAATTATATTCAAAATTTAAATCTTAAACGATGACCCACTATACGCAGGTACAACAAGAATTAAAGATACAGTCGTATCACTGCCGATAGGATTTAATTATATGAGAATATTAAACTCGATTGAATTAATATATAATAATCAATCTTTGGACAAATTTTCTACAACTAATAAAATCATTTAGTAGTTTATTAATAAAAATTTAAAGTCATTACCCACCTCTTGTTATCAGAACTTCTCTTAAACCCACTCTTATCAGTGACAGGTATATTCGTTATTCTCTGCTGAGTATATTTCTTATTCCCTACTCCGTGTTCGTTCTCATCTTTCTTCGTCTCTATACTGGAGCTACTCTTCGTTATAATAATCCTCGGTAGTTGTGCTGACAGTCGTCTCAGTCGTTCCGACTTGGTCTCAGACAGTGAGTTTAAACTGCCTTTAGAGCCTTCGTTTTCTATTTTATATTGTACCGCTGGATGTTTCTCTATGCTCGTGTTTTTGTTCGGTCTACTGTACATGTCTTCTGTCTGTTTGTCCTCATCCTTCTCACTCCTAGCGTCTATCGTCTCGTATATATGTTCCGGGTGTTTATTTGTTAGTTTCATTTCGTCTTCATCATGATCCCGACTGTTGATGTTTTTTAAGTAGTTTAAACATTCATCGTAAAGTTTATTAACTTCATCAAACTCCTCGTCATTTTTTCTTGAATCCGTCATCTTGTAGATCTTCACACTTTTATATCAACATTAACTGTTTCACGACTTTTCATTTTAAAGTCAGTCTACACAATAATTTCTCATATCAGGTCACAACTGCCTCTCCACAGCCATAGGTTTCCATGTATCGAGTGCTTCAAGTCCAATGTCGCTCGCTCGTCGTAAGAGATGTATTGATAACGTTATCTTCTGTTATCAGTGCTAATTGCGCGGCCGAGGAGTGAGCACTGAGCGAAAGATCACAACCGACCTTGATTAGACGAACGAGACGGGCCGGTCTACTAACGAGCAGTATACTTAAACATTGATATACATGTACATTATATTTGAGAAGATGAATTAAATAAATACCATATCATAAATAACTGTGTCTCCATCAACCAATCAATATTATATGTGTTGAAAAAGATGTCCTTAAATATTTTACAATATATTAATACATAATATAATGTTATAGAAGCTTGTATATTTTCATTCTCTCGTGACTGTTCTTGTTCAATACACTTTGAGTCATATGACTGATATACTTGAATATTTTTAATTTTATTTTATTTTCCATACATTATACATATATTATATATTTTCGTCTGCCTGTCTTACGAAGTCATATTTACGAACGTGATGACAGATCACTCTCTTATATAATAATGTTGACTTTTATTATACATAATATTGAACTAACTGAAACTATTTCAAAAGGAAACTAAATCATCCATATTATTAGTATTTATCTATAGGTATGAGAATCACCCCTCATATGAGTCGTATAGAATCAAAGGCGGCAATCTGCACATTTTATCAAAATAAAGATTTTTATATGGACACACAGGAAATTTAAAATAACGTTACGTACTTAATTTACTTTATAACAAAAACGACTATCTCGGAGTGAAATCCCTTTTGAAAATCAGGTTTAGCATCAAATTCGGCAATCTTCAACAGCATAAGAATCAAACCCGGCATTCTAACTCATTCCACCAATCACAAGCGTCCGTGAGGTCACGTGATCTAATGACGTCTGTATGAAGTTTCTAACGAATTTGTGTCCGTGTTTTTATTGAATTATTTTATTTATTGTGATTACTGTTATAAAATAAATGTATAAATTGAATCATGGATGTACATTCTAAGCCTGTAATAAATATGTTTGCCCGGAAACGACAGAGAAACTCAGAAAAATGGAAACAAAACTTGGCGAATAAACTCAAGTAAAATGTATAGGGCTGTCACGTCACGACTAAGACAAAGTGTATTCTATGTTTTTTAACCCTAACAAAAGATGAGTGTTATAAAGTTGACCACTATACTATGTGTATATGTGTGAATGGATTTTCATGCGGTTCTTTTAATATTCCTGGACAAAATCTGAAAAAAGTTACACAGTTTTAAATTATAATTGTCAGCCCTTTTTAAAAGACGCGACAGGATTATAGCTTCTCTTTATTGGGTGAAGGATTTTTAAAATTTCAATATATTCTGCTTGTTTCTGGTTATAGTTTTGGTTTAATCAGTCCCTGAAAGAGTCTGCACGCGTAACACAAAATGGCTTAAATGTGCTACTTGTGCTGTGTTGTTGTGCATCCGTGTAGTTTCATTATCACCACTTGATTTATTCAAATAAAATCCTTAAAACAACTTTATAAAATTTTTTATATCCTTTTTGACAACCCTGAACGAGTTAATTTTTTTGGTAAGTTTCATAAACGGCAATCTCGACATAATTTGGTATCAAATACGGCATTCTCAGATGTTTGGTTTCAAATCCGGCATCCGGCAAAATTCTTTTCTAAATTTCTTCAAATTGTTATTTTTATAGTACACAATGAGAGTTTAATATTAAGCGCATCAATACTTACATCACTTAAAATAAAGTTACGTAATATCATTTTTGAATCGGACGACACAAACCGAAAATTTTCAATTCTCTGATTTCAGTCTAAGTGTAGATTGCCGCCTTTGATCCTATACGACTCATATGTGAATGTCAACTGTTACATTGTCTTTATCTCGTCACTAACACTTCCTCGGATTAAGAAAGAAACGGCTACCCAATTAAAATTCAACTTAATATTTAAAAATTAATAATAAATTAATTTCCTTTCTAAAGTAACCAAAGTAAAGCCGACGGTGAAATGTTATCGATAAAGAAAATGTTACGTGGAATGCAAATATTTGTTTTGTTAAAATATAATCCTGTTCTTATATAAAAACGTTTAAAGTCTTAACGTAATATAACTTATTTACATCTAAATATTAAATTTGTCAACAAGCAAAATTTTTATGTGAAGAAATTAATATTTCCTATAAAATTACAAAAACGCAATCGTAATTGTTAAGATTAAACGAGACACGGAAACGTTTAACTGATGTCTGCACGTTACGAGTTGTTAACCTCACAATGATGACAACAATAACAGATTATCTTTACAAATAACATTCGAGTATAGAGAGTAGCTACTGACTATACAAACAAGGGATTGTATACAGCTCACTGTACATAATACAATACTTAGTGTTATTTATATAATAATGACGTCACACGTTTTAATTCTTTTATTTCAAGTAGCGGCGCCGCAAGGATTACTATCACACTTCAATGACACGTGATGTGTTTCAATTTTCAAACGCAATTATTGAATACCGAAAAACGCAATCATATTAATTAGGAGGCAAGTCTGAGAATTTTGGCATGTACGTGACTACCGATTTCATGAAATTTTCTTTAAATATAACTTTAACATCGATTGTCAGATGATGCTAATAGTTTAAGATTTTCCTAACTTTATATAGGTACCTTGCCAACCTGTATTTTCTACATCCATCATAAATGTCGAAGAATCTTGTCATATTTGATTTTTACCGTCACAATCACTGTTTTCAACAGTCAGCTTATCCAGGTTCCATTTTCATTTAACTATTAATAAACTCACAATCACTGTCACTACTTTATTTCAGACTTTAACTAGCACTTGTAATTAGATAATCTTCCTCCTAAATGGCTCTCAGACTACTGTGTCCCTTCCGCCAACGTTTGCGAATATAAATGGGTTTTCTGAAATCATTGCATTTACTCTTTAATTTAAAATATTAAGCTATACCGAAATATCTTAATTATTCAAATAAACACAACAAAATACATTAGTTGTAGTAATTAATTCAATCTTAATATTGCAACTTAATAGTTTACAGAAAATACATAATTGATTACGAATTGGTTACTAATTAAGTTCCCTTCTTACTAAAAGATAAAGAAGGATTAATAAGTCAGTGGTAGCCTAGTGGTTAAAAGGCCCGTCTCTCATGCATGAGGGCGCGGGTTTGATCCTGGCAAGTACCAATATGATTTTTCCGAGTCATATGTACTTCCTAAGAGTATTAAGACATCACTTATTAATGAATTCCCAAAAGAGGGTTGATGTCAGGCAGGCGGCCAGTCGTAAAAAACAATTAGCAAAAACTATTCACAACATGTAAGGCAGACCCTGGCTATAGCCGGGAAATTGCCAGATAGAAAAAAAGATACAGAAGGATTAATCATATCTAGGGCCCGGATAAATATGTATTAAAAAATCTAAAATATGTACATAAAATATGAACGAAAAAATGAAAAATATGGAAAAAATATGGAGTATAAAATTAAATACTTTCATAATTAAACATTGTTTACTATAAGAAAAGGGTCACTCGTGACGTACATAGTTAAGTTACATTTAAAAACCGATGAAAAAAAGTAGCGAAATATTTATTTCAACAAAAAATAACAGTTTTATGCAACTTCCAGTACACTAACCTTATCAAATTGGTTGCAATGCAATACACAATGACGTGCTCCTTTAAATTATCAAAGTTAAAACTGTGACGATTTGGTCGAAATATAGCCTTATATCTGCTGATTGGTCTCATCTCAAGTCACATGACGTGATGGGTGCATACTTAAACATGCTTAATTCAGTAATTTTGTGAGCCATGTCTACAGCCCTCGAAACTTTCGCACAGAATTTTGTTAATTTTTCAACGTATTTAATCCTTTATTTTTATCCAAAGCATTAGTGGCGGGAACGTAAATTTTATGTATTTTTGTGAATATATGGATGATTGTGACATTTTCTTGTAAATTATGGACTTAACTTTGAAATATGGAAAAATATGGAAAATAAAAGTTGGTTTTTCACAGTCTAAATATGACAGTCCATGTAAAAAACACATTCTAGACCGAAAATGGCGTAAATTAAAAATATGTATTTACATATTAATCCAGACCCTAATCATAACATATTTCAAACCACGGTAAGAATTAACTTTTAGTTTATTATAATTATATGTTATTGAATGACAAAGCAACACCGTACATGCAGTGATGAGAAATGTTTTAACATCATTATAATAGTTCAGTATCGAATGTAAACAGTTTTAGTAAACAGCTTGCCTGTCTCCAGTTCCCACAACACACACTAAGATAAATATATTTTACACTAGATGACCCGGCGAACTTCGTATCGCCCTATAATCAAGGAATATCTGTTGCATTTTTATCTGAATGAAGTTAATATCCTTATTCCTCTGAACGGAGTCTTGCCTGGTTCAACCTGAAAAACATTAATCACTCAGTTTATACTTTTACATACATATCAACAGCATATCGGTGAAAGAGACGCTAATATATTGAGATGTGATTGATCTCAACTTCTCCAACCATAAGCCTGTATGAATAATAATTCATTTAACTAACTTTTTTATTAGTTTCAGAACCTAAAAACATTTTTTGTGATAAAATTTTATAAATTACTTAAAGCTATGATAAACATTAAAAACTTAAAATTTTTTTTTACCTGTAACTGGATTTATCATCTTCATTAAAAATAATACCCATCTTCACCTTTCCAAAATAAAATAAAATATATTTATATATGTTCAATGTTTTTCGAACACATGCTGCAGTTGATTGTTACACCGGTGTAAAACAATATTGCCATTATCTACATTTTCACCCACAATGACAA